CTCGGGGATCTGAGAAGCTAGAAAGCTGAAATCTTAGGTGATGTTTCCCGTCCAAGTGGGTATTAGCGAGCTCAAACCCAGCCCCCGAATAAGAGTGGTACCCGCATACGGGACCGCCAAAATTTTTTCGGGTAACTTTATAACTCGAGTACCTGAGAAGCTGAAGGACTATAATTTTAAGAGGATATATCCCGTCCACCTAAGTTTCATTCAGCTCAAGCCCAACTCTCGGGTATGCGTGGCAAACGCGCACGGGCCCGTAAAAATTTTTTTCCAGTAAGTTACTAACTCAGGAACCAGGGAAGCTAGAAAGCTGAAATTTTAATGGGGTGTTTCCTGACAGTTCTGGCGGCCAGTCTTAATTTGTTAAGCTAGAAGCATTTGCCGAAAAAGTCAGTGCCGATAGCAACAGAAACTGCTGGGAACTGTGCAAAAAACGCATCTTCGCACGGGCACCCCGTGCGTTGGCCAATTGTTTTTTTTTTTTGGCTTGATATCATTTCCTGGGCTGCTCCTGTTCTGTGGATTTGCAGGGCGAAATTTGGGAATAAATAACATTAAAATTTTGCCAAATATTAGTGCACAAAATGATGTTACTGGGATGCTTCATCCGTACATCTGCCAGCAGCATTTTCGATAGCTACCGCTCTTATGAGAGTTTCTTTGAAGCAAGCTACTGGCTTTTCAGATTCTTCATTCTGGCGTTTTGGCATCAGTAAATAAATATTTCACATTGTTCTTCCTGGCGGCCTTGGAGTTGTTTTTGATATTAGTAAATAAATATGATAAAAAATTTATTTTAGAAGTATTTGACCTTGAACCAGCTACTGGTCCATCGCTGAATCAATAACACCCTCAAACGGTGCAACCCAATAACCCCGCCATTTTCGTTCTTCGTTGTTGCGCTAAGCAGTGCTCCATCACCTTAAGGTGGTTGGCGTTCTGGCGATTCTGACACCCCAATCGGCTCTCGAAGAAATTACTGGCTTAGTGGTTCTTCCAGTTTTGGCAAAAGAGTTTTAAAAATTTTCTAACCACCTGAAACTTTAAAAATTTTTTTGAGAAAAAGCGCGGGTCTTAATTTA